GTTTCCTAACGTTTCGCCAGCATCCGTGACCGGCATCTTCAGAGGGCAGGAGCACAGACAGGAGCAGTTCTCTCTGTGCCCAGAATGATGTGACCCTGTTGTGGATATTTATAGAGATCAGCGAGGGTGCCTGAAGGGGTGGGGGATGGGGTTTAGGTTAACGAGTGGCTGCTTGTTTTGGTGTCTTGTCTGTGTTCCTGCCCTCTGAAGATGCCAGTCACAGATGCTGTGACTTCCAGAACACAGCCACACAGCCCGGAAGACCCACACCAACCAATCTTGTGGTACTTTAAAGACTAATAAACTCATTAGGATATAAGCTTTCATTGATTACAATTCATTTAATCAGATGCATTGAGTACAGTCTTGAGAAATGAGTATTATATATACACTCAGCTAAGATGGGTCTGGAAGATTCTTGATGGCTGTAGTTGTCAAAGTGAACACTTAAAGTATTCAGTATCAAGATCACATCAAGATGAACTAAAAATCTAACTAATTTGTGGTACTCAGCATCTTCCATTTATCTGTCAAGAGTCCTTTGTGAAATGTGGAAAAAAAATTTAGAGAATGGTGTCCCAAGTTTATCTGTATTTATTACAGAGACTGACAAATATCAAAAAGATCACCATACATAGGGAACTATTTGTTTCTGTCATATGTTTGGTTTTAAAATACAGACACTGGTTTGGATCCAAACTATGACCTCTGTGAACTAAGTGAACCTTCCCATCTATGGGAGGTGTTTGATGCAGCAGTGAATTTACATTGGAGGACAACAGTCTTTGCCAATTTCCCCTTTTTTATGGCCCTCCAAAATCTGCTCCAGCAAGTGAGACTTTCTGGAAGTGGTGCTGGGAACTTCAGAGCAAGGGTATAGTCAGCCAAGATTATCTCACTTTTCCTTTCTGTTAGCAAAAAGCTGGGGAACCTTTGATCCTCCAGGTATTGTGGAACTGCAACTTGCAACATCACACATTGCTTATACTGGCTACAGTTGCTGGGATTTTTAGTTCAGCAGCATCTTGAGAGCTTACCTGGGCTAACAGAATAGTTTTGCTCAGGGAATGGTCACAGTTGATCCAGTCTGTATAAGATCTGCTTTAGTACCATTGAAATTGATAAGACATCTTGTCCATGAGTAACTTTTCCCACTGATTTAATCAAAAGTGAAGATGTTGTGCCAGTCACTCTCTTTCAGTCCAACTTGTCTGACTGAGTTGTGGTGAGGATAAAATGAAGGGGGGACCTCGTGCTTTAATTTCTCATATGAATGGTTAAATATAAACGTAGTAAATTTAAAATAAATGAAATAATGGGACTAAAATGAAAATTGACAGTTTGGATGCAAAACAATAGATGCTTAATTTGTTCTACTGTGAAGAGTTATTATAAAATTGCCAGATATTATTTTTTAGCTATCAGATAACAGGCAATTCAAAGAACTCTGTTTTTACTTTTATGCATTATCCTTTGTCAGTTGATGCTCGATAAATCCTGTATTGTAATTGTCTTAGCAAATTGTTTCATTTTCTTATATCGAGCATGAGTAAACTCAAAATTCAGCAGCAAGTTCCTCATTAAAGTAGAAGCAGCAGGTTCTGCTGAGGGAAGAAATGGGTGATAAAAATTAATTACTGATCACTGAACATATGATTATAGTTTCACAAGAGAGTAATAGCCCCAGATCTATAAACAGAAGATCTAATTGCCAATTTTATCCAGCACACACAGGTTTTAATATATATGTTTTATTATTATATGCATGCTGATAAACATAAACATACGTGTGCATACAAAAGTTTTACTGACTATGCTAAACCACATCTTAGTTCAAGTTACTGCTTTTCTTTTATATATGAAATACACAAATATGTTGCTAGGATCTTGCAGAAGTTGGTTGGTATTTCCTTTTTATTACTAATTGTTTAAGACCTGGCTTACTCTGTACTTTTAAAGTTTTGCATTTGTGTTTGTTGGCATGGGACTGTAAATTAAATAAATAAATAAATAAATACACATAAATACAAATAAATAAAGTAAAAAGATACACAAATATACTAGACAATGTTTAACTGAGCAAGGTTTTATGGATTGTAAGAATTTCAGAATTCAAGCTGAATTTCTATGATTGTATTCTCTAACAAATATCTATTATTATTTTGTATTATGCTTTATGAATTCAAATGATAACAGTATTATAGATAACTTGAAGGTTATCTACATTCAAATCAAGTTTATGGATTGATTAGCTAGGTAAATTTCCCTGGGTCTTGGGTTTTTTCCTCAGTCTGGCACAGTGTAGACCATTGGTTCTCAACGGGGGT